TCAACGAGTTCGCCATAACGCTGGACACGTATATCATACGACTGGTGGCCGATAGTCAGCACTCAATGTGCGATTGGATAGACAGCCTGCGCTCAAAGCTCCGACAGTTAGACGTACTGCCCGCTCGAGATAACCTATACATGAGGGAACCCCAGCCTCTACCACGTCAAAACTCAGTCACCAATCGACACAACCATTTCAGGCCACTACCGCCCATACCGATGCCACCCAATGGCATCGGTAGTCCGAGCAACATATCACTGGCTACTACTCCCACTCGACGCGCCGGCCCGGGAACGCCTGGCACTCCGTTGACACCTCTGTCACCGTTAGCACCGATAGCCACAGTCTCGTCCGCAAACACCCCGACAACCAGTGCCTTACCATTACCACCACTGGCCAGAGCTGAGACGCCTACAGAGATATACGAAACTATATTTGATGGACAGCAACAGCACCGGCAGACTCAACAGCAACAACAACTACCAGCTCAGCCACCACTGCCTGCCCGGACACTGCATAGCTCCCAGTCCTTAGCCATGTCAGCCTCCGCTCCCATCTCATCCCCATCAGGCGCTACATTAGAGCCACTCAACAGTCACGTACCTGCAGAGGAGGGTCCGCCCCCTTACGAGTTGATAGCGGCCACATCGTCGGCACCGGTATCTCTACGAGAGTCACAAGTTCTACGGTTACGCAAAGAGATCGCTCACCCGTCAGGCGTTAGGCTTATGGTATGTATGGCTTTTGATTATTAATGTATTCATTTAAAATTAATACATTACTTTATTATTTACCGGTATAATTATTTCTAGTTTGGTTAATATTAAACATGAATAAGAATTATGAATAAGAATTGAATGTAAATAGTTGAAGAAGTAGTAGTCAAATTTGTTAACTAGCTAAGAAAGAGTGTAAATTTTGCATTGTCTAGCTTAGAAACTAAAATTTAATAAAATAATATCATTTTTGTCTCAAAATATAATTTAATAGTGTTTACATGGGCCTTCAAATTTAGTATTTATTATTTTGAATTTAATTATAGTTTTAATTAAGATTTTCTGTTTACGAAAAGAACTGTATTTATGTTTTTAAATATCAGTTGAATTGTTGAGTAAATATAATAATCATATAATTGAATCAGAAATGCAATGTTTCGATGTATTCTTAAAAATATTTTTAAAACTAATATTGAATGACAATATATTTTTTCAACATTTCATATAAATTCTTATGAAACATATGACTCTCACAAATGATTCATTGCTCCGCGAATTAGCAATTATTATAAAGAATATTCTGTAAAAATAAACACTAGATTATAGTCAACAAAATAAATAAACAAATAATTGTTAATAAATTATCACAAAAATTAATTACCAAAACTAATCCTTAAATATCTCTAAAACCTATAGGTGCGCAAAAAGGACTGTTATCATTCCATAGCACTGGTAGACATGGGCGACGGTGTATGGTTAGCCGGGTGGCGGCAAAAGGAGTTCCCTGTACTGCACAACACGTTTCACATCGGGGATCGACTACTTAGTATTAATGGAGACCCGGTAACCACGGCCTCCCAGGCATACAAACTCATTAAACAACACCAGTTGGTGCTGGAGATTATCGTACGTCGGGTGCCTTACGGCCGGGTATTTTGCATCAAACGACAGCGTGAGGGACAGGACTTAGGGCTTGTGAGGGATGGGAATAAGGCTGAGATCGTGGCTGTGGTGACGGGAGGGCTGGCCGATAAGGCAGGCCTGAACTCGCGGGCCGAGTATGGGGACGGGGAGTGTAATTGGTGTCTAACCGAAGTCAATAATCGTGCGTTAAGTATGTTTTTTAAGGGACAGGAGGTTCGCGAGCGCCTACAGGCGGTGGGCAAAGAGATATCTATTTTAGTTCAACCAATGATTTTCGTAAAACATCTCAAGAAACAGTTGAAACAATTCAGGAATTTTAAGGATTATATCGTTCAATGATTTATAAGAATATTATTTTTTCTACAGAATATTCTGTGCCTTTTGATAAATTATGTTATGTATACTGGTAATTTTATATTATTTTATTACATAATGACTTAATAATTTGGATTGTATTTCCATGTCTGTAGTAATGTTATAAAATAATTTGACATTTCCAGGATAATACTATATGCGAAAGTCATGGAAATATTAATTATTAGAAAAAATACTGTTCACATTATCATTATTTATTAATTATATTTTGTTATAAAATTAAAGTAAATACATATTTTCTAATTGCCATAAAGTATTTATATAATTATGAATTCAAAGTTTTAAATAAACACCACAAGCATTGTGTGCATAATAAATACTACTTATCTATATGTTTATAATCATTCAACAATTTTATATAAAATACTACACAATTAATTTAGATCATGTAAAATAATTTGTTAAATAACATAATGATAAGTTGTCATTTTCTTTCTAAAATATATAAAGAATTATCAAAATTTAAAAACCAAATTACTACCCATTGTTAAATATAGGTTGTTATTATTCATTTATTCATTTTGCTTTGTAAACTTCAAAATATCATAATATTTAAGAATAAAGCTGAATTTTACAAAAGTTACAACTATTTAGACCAACCTTGTTTATTAGTATACCTTGGATATGGTTTCTTATGTATTTTATACGTCAATACCAGAGATGACTACCTATTTATCACAACTAGTGTTGTGAGACTTCTTTAATGACACAATCATTATTTAGGATTAGACATCAATTGCAGACATCATTCACATCCCTGTCCACTATAGATAAGAACTAACAGATAGCTCAGACAGATATACAGTACACTAAAATAAATACCATTGATTTCATGTGACTATAATACCTGATAGAAAAACTATACAGAAGTCAATAATCTTAACAAATTTTGGTGGTATTTGTTATATATGTGTGGGTTTAACACAAACAATAGAAATAATGATGAAATTACATAATCATAACTATAATACCCAGACAATAAAAATTGAGGTTTGACCATAGAAATTGTTAGATTTTTATAATTATTCCCTTCAGTTTATCATTTTCAAAGAAAATCTCTAAAATTTAAAATTATACACGTCTTGTAGTAATTATAATAAGAATAAGTTTATTGTACTTTATTATTAAAAATTATTTCTATATGAATTGTCAAAACTATTCTAAAATTAGTTGTTAAAATTACCAGAAAACATATTGCGATCATGTTATGTAATGTAAAACGAATTCTCAAAAAGTATCGTGGTGAACCTTGCCCTCAAATGTCACAGTTTTATATCCTAAACTATTGAAATTTAACTCGATTCAATTGCTCATATTTAGAGCAATTAGTTACGTGGAAAATTTAAAGTATTGTAATTTATTATTTACCCTGTTTGACGCCCTATAGTGCGCCCCCACCGTATAGTGCGCTTTCATTTTTTACAAAAATGCATGTTTCTTACTCAGATAGTGCGCACCCTACGTATAGTGCGCCCATATAACATAAATATATATCCAGGTATAGATGAATGCAATTTAAGTGACTTTAAGACAACTAATCATCTGAAATATCTAGACATAAGCTTAACACAAGGTGTAGATCAGATAAAGCGGCATGCACAAAGTACGTTCGTCACGTTCGACCCATTCCCCCTACACGCCCATCGTACATAGGAATTTAACATGACAACATACGCTTTGGCGTGATCCCCCTACGAGTGCGTGTGAACTTTGTGCACGCCGCCTAAGGAGATCACACTTATAAAAATTACATACAAAATTGATTTAGTGATATTTGCCACATTTATAATAGTCAATTGAAAAGCTCTTTTGTTTAATAGTTTAAATTAAGAGTTTAGTTATAAAATACTTTGATGTGAAATTAAATTACATTTATTTGTTGTAGTGAACTAACATTAATAATTTTCACTTAATTTAAAATTATAATTAAATTTTAAAAAAAATAATATACTGTAATTTTCTCAGATAATGCGCACCCTGCGTATAGTGCGCCCTTCTACTTTTTCCCAAAAAAATCACTTTTTTTCTCAGATAGTGCGCGCACTATAGGGCGTCAAACAGGGTACTAAAAATTGACACCTTTAAATTTAATATTAAATAAAACCAATGAGAAATTACTTAGAGATTTAATTTAAATTAAGTTTAGTTTTTCCTTTTGTTATTGTTTTACAAATAATTGATTTAATGATGATTTCACTAAGAAAACGGCATAAATATTACAAGATAAAACCTTATTTATCCTTTACCGTATTTATAACTCGTATATCTTGTCCACAATTACCGGAAAGAAAAACAAATTACTTTAGTTTTGCTTAAGGATAGGCTTATTTCCACGAATCGATATTCACTACAACAGAATATTTTGTGGAATTCTTTTTGATGTATATTATATGAAAATATCCTTATGATTAATATACCGATTGATGAAATTTTATATTTTCATACTTATGATAAATTAGTTAATTATATTTAAAATTAATTTCTTAGACTATTTAGATGCACTACTAAATGTATTACATAAATCACTCACAACATTTTCACAATAAATTTTGTGTTTAAATCGATTTTTATGTCAATTCTGTTGATATTTAACGGAAGCCATGATATAATCAGAATATTTCATATCTAAAGCAATTTTTCAGGTTACAGTAACACAATTTTAAACAAAATATGTAATTTTATTAAAAAATAATAAAATTCTATATACCGGCACATTATAATCGAATTAAAGTGTTTTCAGTGGTTATTTTAAAGTGATTAAAGTTATAATAAGATATATATCATAGAATTCTTTGAGAATGACCTAAAAATGTCAAAATCTGTTATTTAAAATTAATTAATTTAAAAATCAATTTCAGATAATTCTCAGATTAATATATTTAATTAATAATTTATAAATAATTAAGCAGATACTGTAAGGGTAATAGGCTTAAATGTTAGTAAGCAATTTGTTTATACTGTATAGTAATTGATTTTTTAAAATGTTAATATTATACTGATATTAACAAAAATGCAAGAAAAGACTTTCAACCTATGAAATACCTATTACATACGTATTTATAAAAGAAATATAGTGTATAATATTGATATAATCTTATGCAGAATTCAATATCGAAAGCAAAATATATTATATTAACTAAAAAGTTTGCTGGCAAAAATCTCAAAAACAATTTTTTCTTTTATTTATTAAAATATAACCAATACTTGAGTTTGCACTCAAAAACGTTATGATTAACTTTGCTTGAGGTCTCAAATATTTATTTATTTTTTCACATTTTTTGCTTGTTTAAATAGATAATCTCCAGCACCAACTGGTGTTGTTTAATGAGTTTGTATGCCTGGGAGGCCGTGGTTACCGGGTCTCCATTAATACTAAGTAGTCGATCCCCGATGTGAAACGTGTTGTGTAGTACTGGGAATTCCTTTTGCCGCCACCCGGCTAGCCATACACCGTCGCCCATGTCTACCAGTGCTATGGAATGATAACAGTCCTTTTTGCGCACCTGTAGGTTTTAGAGATATTTAAGGATTAGTTTTGGTAATTAATTTTTGTGATCATTTATTAACAATTATTTGTTTATTTATTTTGTTAACTTTAATCTAGTGTTTATTTTTACAGAATATTCGTTAAAATAAATGCTAATTCGTGGAGCAATGAATCATTTGTGAGAGTCATATGTTTCATAAGAATTTATATGAAATGTTGAAAAAAATATATTGTCATTCAACTTATATTGAAATTTAAAAATATTTTTAAGAATACACCGAAGCATTGCATTTCTGATTCAATTATATGATTATTATATTTACTCAATAATTCAATTGATATTTAAAAACATAAATACAGTTCTTGTCGGAAACAGAAAATAAATCTTAATTAAAACTATAATTAAATTCAAAATAATAAATACTAAATTTGAAGGCCCATGTAAATACTATTAAATTATATTTTGAGACAAAAATGATATTAATTCTCATTCATGTTTAATATTAACCAAACTAGAAATAATTATACCGGTAAATAATAAAGTACTTTTAAATAAAGTAATTTTAAATGAATACATTAATAATCAAAAGCCATACATACCATAAGCCTAACGCCTGACGGGTGAGCGATCTCTTTGCGTAACCGTAGAACTTGTGACTCTCGCAGAGATACCGGTGCTGACGATGTGGCCGCTATCAACTCGTAAGGGGGCGGACCCTCCTCTGCGGGTACGTGACTATTGAGTGGCTCTAATGCAGCGCCTGATGGGGATGAGATGGAAGCGGAGGCTGACATGGCTACGGACTGGGAGCTATGCAGTGTCCGGGCAGGCAGTGGTGGCTGAGCTGGTAGTTGTTGTTGGTGTTGAGTCTGCCGGTGCTGCTGCTGTCCATCAAATATAGTTTCGTATATCTCTGTAGGCGTCTCAGCTCTGGCCAGTGGTGGTAATGGTAAGGCACTGGTTGTCGGGGTGTTTGCGGACGAGATTGTGGCTATCGGTGCTAACGGTGACAGAGGTGTCAACGGAGTGACAGGCGTTCCCGGGCCGGCGCGTCGAGTGGGAGTAGTAGCCAGTGATATGTTGCTCGGACTACCGATGCCATTGGGTGGCATCGGTATGGGTGGTAGTGGCCTGAAATGGTTGTGTCGATTGGTGACTGAGTTTTGACGGGGCAGGGGCTGGGGTTCCCTCATGTATAGGTTGTCCCGAGCGGGCAGTACGTCTAACTGTCGGAGCTTTGAGCGCAGGCTGTCTATCCAATCGCACATTGAGTGCTGACTATCGGCCACCAGTCGTATGATATACGTGTCCAGCGTTATGGCGAACTCGTTGA